AGTCGTTATCATTTTACAAGGGCTCACATTAAAGAATAAGAGCGACCACCCACCGGTCCGCGCATTCCTCCATGCTTAAATTTGGTACAGGCACAAGTTACTATGTTGGGTTTTTTTTGGAACAGCTAATAAGTTAATAATTAGAAAGTTTATTTGTACAAAAAAAAATTATTATTAAGAATGTTCATTTGTACAAAACTAAAATATCTTAAAATTGAAGAAAATAAAATTTCTTAAAATTGGGGGAAAAAAATTGAATGCCAAGACGCGATTCAATCTCACAACCTTACGTTCTTTCAAAATTCAAATTTAGCTCTTTTGCAATTAAACAAATGGATTGGATGAGACAATTTACATTACACAAATAGATAAAAACATTGAAAAAACAGGATAAACACCAATATTAAGGGGGTAAAATAGGGAAAAAATAGGCAATAAGGGGTCAAAAAGAGAACATCAAAAAAGTACATCAAGAGAAAACAAAAATCAAAGAACCACCAAGAAACAGAACACATCCTTAACTGGCCGTGCCACCCATGCGACGTGCCCTATTTGTGGTAATGGAAGTAATGTACAGTCCTTGCTGAAACCCCTGTGTAGGGAAACCCTGGGGTCCAACTTTAAAAAAGGATGATGAACTTTTGTTGGAAATCACCTCTAGTTTATGAGTACAAAATTTCCTGCATGTCCGTTCAAAATTGGCAACGCTGGACGCTTTTAAAATTCCGGTAACAAGAACAAGAAGGGCAGTGAGGCTCTGGGGTCAGCGCCTTGTGCGGACCTAAAAACATATATTGTTGTTCAGTATAAATGAGGTTTGCCATCCCAAAACCAACATATCATTGCTAAATGTTAAAGATGTACTGTACTATCAATGATGAAGTAAAACAATTGAAAATTTTAATCCACATTTGCATTACATAATTTGTATATTTAAGTAAGTTGTTAACCTACGCATACTCTTCCTGCCTAAAAACAATATTTAAAAAAAAATCATTGTATGCTAATTCCTTTGCTTACGACATCAATTGAAGAACACATTGTTGTCATTGCAAAATTTGTTGATCATTAAACCTGACAGTTCAAAGTTCTGAACCCCACTTTCACCCATAATTCAGTTGTTATCATTTATTTCCTTGTACTGTAGCACAACCAGCATGTTTTTCGTCAATATGCCAAACATTTTGTCCTCAGGGTTCTTTCTTTTATTTAAGCTGTCTGACTGAAGTACTGTATCCTTAAGCCATATACCGGTACCTCCATGCTTAAGCCAATCCTTGTTCAGATCATTATTAGTAATGGCATTGTCAAAATTTGGGCAACAACACAATAACCATAAACTTTTTCAGTTCTGTCCTTTGTAGCGGCCATCCATTTTGGTAGAATATATAGCATTTAAAGGCACTACAACAAATTTATTTATTTATTTATTTATCTATCTATCTATCTATCTACAGTATCTATCTATCTATCTATCTCTATTTATTTATTTATTTACTTATTTATTTATTTATTTATTTATTTACTTACTTATTTATTTATATATTTAAAATTAGTCATGATATATATGAAGTATTAAGCTTTGTCCACATTATCGACTTTTCTTTGACAAACTGTTGTACATGCCCATTCCTCCATGCCCATATATAGTCATGATGTGCCTATATATAGTCATGATGTGATGTCATCATGACCAAATTTTAGCATGTCACAAATTTTTGTGAAATGAAATTTGATAGGTGTGGACAGGGGTTTATAGCTTGATGCTTGCAAAACTTACTGTGTCAAAACATAATTGGTCTTCAATTCTAGGTTTATTTTTTATGATTTTTTTACATTACAGATAGTAGGACTACCTTCAGGCAGTATTTCACTTCTTTCGATTCATATTGCCTATTATAAGTGAGGCACAGGGTTTTATGCAATACTTACATCGGCTTCATCATCATGTTTTTTCCATTGTGAAAGGTTCGCAATTCTATTTATTACTTCCTTCAGCAATGAAAATCGCTTCAAAATTGATAGTGGATACCACTTCGATCATCCCGGCATGCCGGAAATTGTCTTGTTTCATACGACATGTCACAGACTACATACAATCAAACATATTGAATGTATTATTACTCCTACAGAGATTATTCTTAATAATTGTCACCGAGTATATAATTGAAAACCCAATGAATCTATTTAAACATTCGCCTCATCAATACAGCTTAATATAATTTATTGCATACACAGTAATAATTTTTTATGGGATTTTTTTTACTTAATGCACAGAGATTTCAAATTTGATAAATTTGCAGGCATGAGACAATTTTTTTTTTGTCAGTTCCACCCACCAAGAAATGTTTCCCAAGTTGCTCCAATTTAGCATAGTATTTTGACAACTAAAAATCTGTTAAAAATTTGCTTTTTGTGAGAATAAATATATTTCAAACCGCATCTGCAAGCTTATCACAGCGACGTGACCTGTACGGATTACATAGTGTGTGCCAATGGTCTTCGATGTAACAGTGCTTGGTAAAACAGCAACATAGCCACAGTGTTAGTACACAGCTATTATGGTAGATCGAGAAGTTGAGAAAATGGTGTTAGATGACTAGAGAGGGTAATAATAGATTTGGGAGAAATATTTTAGAGAACTACTTAATAAGCCTACACAATTTGTTTAGTTTTCAAAATTACATTCATGCATCAGGTTTTGGTCTTTGAGTGGGAGTGTTTTGAAAGAGACCTCGAATCCGCGAGTCTCCTTGGTAGGTCTGCAAGTGTTAGATTAGCTAAGATGGACACATCATATAATAAAGTTATTATATCATGACCAACATTTTTGACACGTTGGTAAAAAGATTTCATGGAGGGTTGTTCTTTCGCTGTGTGGTTTTTTTTTTCTTGAGGGGGTGGGGGTGTTCAGGTTTATGGTATAAAGTAAGTCATGGTATATGATATCTATTATACTTAGGGTAGTTACTGTTTCTTTAAAAAAAAAAAATTGTTTATTGAAAGTGGGGTATATTTCCACACTGACAATATTTTGATCCCAGTGCATTGCATTGTCATAAGAAATGTAAATATTCTACAAGTGTTTTAAACAATGGGTATTTACCCTAGTTTATCAATTGTCATAACAGAGATCATTTGTATTGGCAAGGGTAAAATTGACTTTAGCTTAGTTTCAAGAAGCAATCACACAATTATCTCCCTGCCTGTATATATGCTGTTTTCTTTTGGAACCTGGAAAAATAACAGAACAATCTACTCCAGGTCCCCAAAGTATTAACCAGCCCCATAATTATTGATGGCTGTAGCCAAATGTCATGCCTGCATTTTGGAGAGTACTGTACAGGCTGTATTGTATTTTTACTACTACTTACTATAATACTATTAAAACTCACTACTTTAAATAATACTGTACTTCACATAAAAGATTTCTCTGATTACCCAGAAAACCAGTTATAATCCGGGATTTTGTCAAATTTAAAGCTTCATTGTTAAATTATGAAGCAACTGCCATGGCCTTGTTGAAGGAGGGTCACAGTAACAACTATCATGTCAAAGTCAATTTTCTAGCTTGTTCTTGAAAAAAAACCAATATTTTTAACTTTAGTAGAAGTGTTAGATTTATTTGAATAAATTCCCTCTATTTGTTATAAGAGGATTTGTTAATACAAACATCATAAGACGTCTATAGAAATCAAGTTTAAATTTAGCATAATAAAGCCATTCCGTAGTTTTGAAGTGCGCACAAATTGAAACTCAATTGACAAAGTATCCCCTTACGCTTATTTGAACCAGGATATTTTTCATCTCCTTTATATTGAAGAATCCACTTTAGAGTTAGACTAGGGCTTTATTATTCACACAGACTATGGCAACTTCAGAAATTTTACTGAGAGGACAGAGGCCCCAAACGCGGAGATGCCAATCTGGGAGAATTAATAAGGGGGCGGGTAGGGCCATGGCTCTTATTCATTGCTCTATATGAAAAAGGGCTAGAAAAAGGGCCACACCCACCTCAGCAGCTATTCTTAAAATAATTTTTAAGAATAGGCATCTATAGAAGATCTTCCTCTGCCGCAGAGGCGGGTTTAAGATGGTAAAAGTTGTACTTTTTTACCACAATAACTGCAGTCATAATTTAACTGGATTGGTAAATTGATAGTTTTAGTCTGACAACCTCAAGTTTGCAGTCGATGAGACCGGAGGACCCATAACTGTCCCCCCACCAGTAACTTCCAGCGTCTGCAGACACACATCATACTGTATATTTTGGTCCTCTCGCTATTTGAACTACTTATTGCAACTATTCTATTGTCTCAGTGATTTATTTGTCTGTATGTGACACAGGTCTACAGTCTTCACATATAGTATCTGTAGTAAATTACAGGAAATTGAATCTTATATTTTTAAACATTTTCTTTCCCTTTTGAATTTCTACCAAACAAACATAATAATATTTTTTTGCATTATTAACTCCACATTTTTACTGTGTACTGTATTAGTTATTCCCTCCTAATTATTATTAAATTATACACTTTTTAATTTTTTTTATAACACATTTTATATTAGAACACTGAGGCTGAAATTGCTTAAAAATTAAGAACAAAATAAGAAATTGAGGCTGAGAATGTCATGAGGTGGTTTTTTATTTTTGTTTTTAAATAGAAAAACCAACAAATCTATCTATACCTTATTTGCAGTACAGTAGGTGTGACTATGTAATACCTTCTATAATACAGTACAGCAATAAGAAGAAAGTAAGAACATTTTGAGCCTGAAATTGGCAAAACATTAACACTGAGCTTAGGCAACAACCATGCCCATATATGGATGGGCACATCATACAATTTGTAATATGATATTATGATGTGGATATTTAGGCCTTTTAATTTTTTGCTTATTTACACTTACAAGTACAAATTTAGAACCATATTACTAATAGTGTGTTGGTACAGTATAGGGTATCTGATATGATTTTTCTTCTTTTGTTTTTTTTTAAGTCTGAGATTACAACAAGTAACTCTGTACCCTTTAAGCGTGCTGTTGTGTGGTTGTTGACATTACAAGCCCTCATTGAAAAGAATCAGGTAAGAACAAATATCATTTATTCATTGTTATATATGTTTAATTTTTAATTTTATTAGAATCAGTCGTATAGGATCTTTCGATTTGTGCGACGATGCGACGCTAGAATGGAATCACTTATGCGTGACCGTCCTACCTGGCGTCCTACGTTCTCTGCATACATAGATTTGGCCAAATTGCGTTCCAGAATCTACTCGACGTCATTACGTTCTACATCCTACCTTCGTTGCAATAAAAATCTCCCTATTGTTATTTATAAAGCTCATGTAAAGCCTCTATGAACTTCACATTATTTTACTTTGTGCCTTGTATCAAACACAATGGAACAATTCAAATTCCCCCCAGGGGGAGTATATCATAATGTTGCAGTTAGTAATGAGTGCATTATTTACTTATTGTTTGTTTATTGTCTTTATTTCTGGGAATTTTTTTTAGGATTATTCTGTTGATCAAAACAACTTTACTCTCTTATCTTCTGCCTCATAAAATTTATTCTATACACATTTACATATTGTGTATAGAATAAAATTTATTCTATACACAATATATAAATGTTTTTCTTGTTTATAGGGTTTTTATGATAACAATTTTGTAAATATCATTTTGAGTAATGTACTTAAATTTAGCTTCTATGTCAGTTATTATTAGCTTACTTGTTTTGGATTTTGTCAATAGATTATTTATCAAATTGGCTTACCTCTGTCTCTTTGTATGATTAATAGTTCATGCTCATTAAATCAATTCAATAGATGGATAATGGTGATAGATTAGTATCTTGGGCTAAACTTTCTAAGCCTTCACTGCTCCCTGAAAGCTGCTGAAAGGGACTCATACATGTATACATCTAATAATACTGGACCCAAATACCTTGGTGTATAGAAAAGCCAATTTTGGCTATTTTAACCAGTTGCAGGATATTGAAAAAAATATTATGCCCAAAAGAAATTTTTTTTTCTGGTCAGGTGATATCATTATTGATAATATTCATAACGAGTGCAACCACTTGAATCCGAGATTATTTCCTGTCTACTCAAGATGATTCAAGGTCTGATTAGAGGCTTATTAAAAACACTTCTAAACCAGAATATTGTAAACATAGTAGTTAATAACACTGATAATGATTGTCCAAGTGGTGTTACACTTCCCTGGATTGTCCAGGCAAACTTTAGTAATCTAAATATTCAAATATTTATCAAGACAAAAATAACTTCCTTGTTTAAATTATAAAGACTAAAGACCAAATAACAAACAAAAAGTGATTTCTAAGATCATATGAAAATATTTTCATTTTCAAATTTCATTAAATTACAATTTTACATTGTAGGAATGATGTTTTGCCCTACCTAACGTGTTATTGCACCGAATACTTAGTAAGTTCCCAAATACTTGCAAACAAATTTTGCAAGTGATTCAGATAGGGAATCGAACCCACGACCTCCAGATAACTAGCCTGGTGTCATACCACTAGACCACCGAGCTTGCACTTAGTGACTAGTTTTGAATCCGATACCCAAAAAGCAGCGGGTACTGCAGTGCTATGCTAATTTTACATTATATTGTGTTATTTTCAAAATGTGTTCATGACGCGGTGTTTACTATATTGAATTTGGTGGTTTAAGGATGATTTGGTTTCTAGGGTTGTATATTCAAATGCAATGAAATGCTGGGATCTGTCTTACAGCTAAAATGAACTACCTTAGCCTTATCTTGAGACTTGTACCCAAGACAACAAAAAAATTGAATTCAGATTCAGAAATGCTTGACTATTGACCCTGGTATTAGAATTTAATTTAGCTTGTTTTGGAGTAGGCCTACATGGTTCGCTCTTTTCCCTTTTCTTCTTTCTTTTTTAAAGTGGGGAGTGTAGACCCGATTGCCACTCCCTGGACCCGCCCCTGTGCACTGCCTGTGTTTAATTTGGAGCAACTTTTATTTTACCAATGTTTTAATTCTAAGAAAAGTAATTTTGATAAGAGTAGGCCCTACTGTATCTCACAAATTCATTTTAAATAACAATCATGTGTCCCTTTTGTCTCGTGTTAATTGGGCATCAGTTTATGGAACACTGTTTCACTTGTAGGTACAATTAAACTTGCTGTTGCTTGGGAAAGAAATATATTGAAAAAATATTTAACGCTACCACTTTGAAAAATTGTAGGCTGCGATACATGAGAAGTGTCTACTGAATGAATAATACAATGGAGCCGGTTTATTGCATTTTGGGTCACTGATAACAACGGAGTAGTATCACATGGTATTGTGAGGTAACAACGCAGTACTCTATAACATACAGAAACAAAAGCAGTTTTTTTTATCACATGTATACTGTTTGTTTCTTAAGTCAAATTGTGCTAATATTTGTTCTGCATGATCTGGCAAGTATACTCTTTAACATCCTATTTTGTGGTTTTCTATTTATCTGGCCTGAATCTCAGAAGGAGGTTATTGAACTTCTAAATTTGCTCTGTACTGTACTTCCCTGGTCACCATTAACTACTTGCTATCTCACCAATTAATCACTCGCTCACTTGCTTTACCTTACATAAGAACTAAGATTATGTTGTGTCAGTACATTTTTTCTCACTGGCACACTTTTTTTCAAACACTATGAAACAGTAGTTGCTTTGGTGTAATTAAATGTTTGGTGGTAGGAAAGGGGAAATAATTTAACACAAAGTGCCAATCTGGGGAGGGATTTGGAGATATGTACCCTTTCCAATGGTTAGAGCCGGGGTGGTCTAGGTCCTATGGTTGGTGTACAAGTGCTTGAACCCATAGCTATTCAGGTTGGAGGAAAAAATATCCACTTCACAGTTTACTCTAAACAAAATGAATTTGTCGTTCAAAATTGGAGGTGCCAAAATATTGAACAACTTGCCTGTTAAAATACAAAATTGTTACATTCAATTCACTCTTTTAGATTAGCTAAAAATATCAGTTCTTCCAATTAAATTTTATCTTTCAAATTACACTTTTTCACATTTTTTTTGTAAATAATAAATAATTGTTAATCTAGTTCTCAGGACTACAATACTGAACAGGTACATTGTTAATATCCTGTTAAAATGTTGTATGTTGTATTGTTTTTGATAATATCGGGTTGTACTGTACCGAAAGTAAGGAGTGAAAATACGAAATGATTAATATGATTACTGTAAAACCTCGAATTGAAGCCCTGAGCTTCTTTTTTTGCGAACTTTAGATGGGCTTCTTTTCGAGGCTACTTTTGCAAGGTAAAGAGGGGCTTCTTTTCAAAATGAATGTTGTAAATTTTGTGAATTTGTACTATAAAACAATAAATACGGCCACTGTAACATCAATCTGTAGCATGGAGTGTATTTAACTGATATTAAATCACCTAAATTACTTTTTAAACCAAGTTTGTTTTTAATATAATTTGTTTTTTGAAATTCATGAACAGTGTATATACTGTGCAATCTCAAAAAGAAGCCTATGCTGTCTTGGAAAGAAGCCCATGGGCTACTTTTCGAGGCTAATTTTGCAAACTAAAGAGGAGGCTTCAATTCGAGATGGGCTTCATCTCGAGATTAGAGATTAAGCCCACTGGGCTTAAATTTGAGGTTTTACAGTATTTAATACTAGATCCAATAGGAGGATGTCAATGTTCATTTTCATCAATCATTTTAGTTGTAGTTTGAATGGATATAATGAATAGAATATTTATTTAGAAATAATTTTTTTGGTTTGTCAATGAAATTATTACCTTCGTCTTTCGAAACCAGATAATGTTTTTCTTGCTGTTGATTTGAAGTATTTTATGAAAATAATTTATGAAAATGCATTTTGTGTATTTCTTTAGATACTTGCTTAATTTTTTGTATTTAATTGAATACCATGATTTTAAACTTTTCTGCTATATGTTTGTTATTCCTTAAAGTATTTAATCATGTCATTCTTATTATTATTTATATAAATTTTATGATTTGGAATTCATTTTCGTTTAGGTTCACAAGAATGCTGAGTGCCAAGCTGTTGTTCAAGAATGGTTACGAGAGCGGCATCAACTCAGGTAGGCAAACCTTTGCACACTGATTAAATCTAAAGCAGTCACACAATAGATTGCATGTCTGTCTGGCCTGTGCTTGAATACTGAACAATATGCAAGCTATGGTGATTCCCACATTTTCTTTTATGCTTGAGGGTAAGTTCTAGGAAAAATTTAAATTTCCATAATCTTGACCTTGTCCTTTGAACTTTCCTTCCAAAAAGTTAATTATTTCTTTCTTATTCAACATTCTTCAAAATTTTATGATGATCCATCCCTTAGTTTTTGCGTTATTTTGCTAACAGACAGACATGGGTGAATACATATACCACCTTAGTGGAGGTAATATTTGCATTAGTGATGTAAATCCTGAATTTTGAATTAGATCTTTTAACTTGTTTTTACGCTTGAAATCATTACAATTAATTTTCTTTTTTAGAGTTACAACCAAGACGCTCTTCAACCATCAATTTGGAAGTATCTTCCGCACGTACCATAATCCCACCTACTTCTCACGCCGTCTATCACGTTTTGCTGACATTTACACGTCGTCTGTTGATAACCTGATGTCATACTCGTTGGAGCATTGTTTTTACCCACAGAGGGCAGCCTTGCCTCATGAGATGAACTTTAACCTGCATCCTCATATTGAGGACGAAACACCACAGGGTCCCTGGTCTGGAATTTTCCAAAAGTCATAAGTAAACATAGTCTTAACATGAAGGTATTATTGAGAAGGAGATCACTCGAAAAAGCTACGCACACGCAGCGCTATGCAAATGAACCAAGATCAAAGCTGCCGTAGCGCGTGAAGAACGTTTGCGTGATGCCTTTGAAGTCCCATGTGTTCCCCGCCATCAAATTTTCAGCAGGCATAGTTTACCAAAAAATTGAACAGGGTGAAATGGAGAGCGCACTACATACAGTCAATCACTATGGCTGCGCAATCATTTCCATTTTGAAGCTGATACATTTATCTCTCATAAAATATCAAACATATTAATATTTTCTACCAAAAAAAGTTTCGAATTTAATGGAACATTTACATGACCTTTAAAAGTATAGTATATTTCAACTTCAATTTCCATAAATTGGCCAAAATTCACTAATTCTAATAGTCTTTCATATTTATCAACAGTGGTAGTCTCATAATGCTTATGGTGAGACTGCATCAATCTTGTGTCTGTGTTAAAAAAGTAATCATCCCGAAATTTCCATCCTCTGATTAGCTGTAAAATTACAAATAGCCTTATGTTAATCCTAAACTGTTCAATAGAAAGTGCTATTTTAGTAAGCATAGAGGCTGCAACTTTTGGGGTGATTTTGGTCATGTGCATGCAAGATGAAATTAACGTAGATATTTATAAAGTATTGAGTAGTAAGACAACCTAATGCTTAAAATGTAACGTAAAATGCAGTGTATTGTATCTCTACAGTGTCCTGGTATGTTACTGGTTTTTAATTATGAAAGATTTTAATCTTAATAGTTTGGATGAAAGTTGGATTTGAAGGAGAGTTCCTGTTGCGATTAGGCGAGACTTTTTTATTTCATGTTTCGCGTTTTAATTCTAAATACTATAAGAATAGCAATCAATAATAAATTAATTTGGTTGTTGCCTGTTTACCAATACAAACTGGACCCAGTTATGTTTTCAGAATATTTTGTGTTTCATTTATTTAAATTACTGTATATTTGAGAGAAATGTTTTAGATTTGAATTTTAAAATTAAATCCAATTTTTTGTGGACCATAAATTTGTTGAACTTTGAACATCTTTGCTGTACATTGCATTCAAATTGTGACACCTGCATATCTAATGTGACAATTCAAACTTTCTTGGAAGTTGCTGACCTATTTTACTGAACGAGAACGAGGGCTACTATAAGTAGCTTTTTACACAACCAAATGTGATTTACCATCATGATAGGATTAGATTGGATTTCTGTAAAACCATTGAAAAACCAATAACCAAAAAAAGTCCAAACTGTGGTGGATTGGTTGTACACCACCATGAGACAGTCCCCTACTCAATTCCAAAGAGTGTACTGAATTCTTTAACAGGCATATGGGCCATATTGTACATGGGACCATTGGCTCAAACTTTCTATTCCAAAAGATGGTGGGTCTTTTAAGCTTGTAGCAATAGAATTGAGCCAAAGGATTGAAAGGATCTTCATGGTTCATTTTACACCAGTGGCGTAACCGCTATGAGCTCTCACTGGCTAAAGCCTTAAAACCCGGCCCTTCCCAGACCTTAAAAGGCCCCATCCCAGGCCTTGAAGGGCCCAGCCTAGGCCTTAAAGGGCTCTGAAATGTCTATTATCTTTCCCCAGGGTAGTACGGCCCTGAAGCCTTTGCCAGGGGCCTCTGATCTTTTTGGTACTCCGCTGGTACACACATAATTGATACCACCAGTTTAGATCACTACAGTGTAAAGTATGGTTTGAGTTTTATTTACTGGAACACATTTTTCTACTGTGGCACCAAGTACATCATGAAGTAAGACTAACATAAAGACATAACATAAACTTAATTTAAAGTACATTTACACTACAAATATTGGATTGAAACTTTCAAAACTGATGAGGTTACAGTATAATATTCTATAAAAAAAAAATTGATAATGGTTTATATTTTACTATTGATACCAACAACTGTGGTGTGTGCATGGACCTGTGTGTGTGTGTTCAGCAGGTAAACTGAAAATAATTTAATGTTGCAAGGGAAAATATACGTACAGTAATATAACATTTAATTGAACAATGGAATAGGTTGGTTTGGAATGTGGATAATTTGTGATAACAAAAGAAGAAATATAGATGATGATGGTACATCGCAGATTGATACTCTAAATCTTAGATTCTTATTTGGAAAGAGGAAATTCCGGCGCTGTACATCGAACCCTAAGCGATAAGATATTATGTACTCCCTATGGTAATAAATACAAGTAAACGTTTGTGCACTGTAAATTTTGGGACTTTCCCAGTACGTAACCGAACGACGGAATGGGTGTCAATCCAGATACGGACAGCATGGTAAATATTTGCTGTAATTGGTCTGTGCAGGGAGGTACAGTATATACCTCCCTGGTCTGTGGTGTTGGATAACAAATCCATGTAAATAATAGCTGAAGAATGATTATAATCTTAAGAATCAATAGGAATTGGTATTTTTGGGCAGGGCCATGCTTATGATACACCTAGGCATATTATTTGGCAAGTGTTGTCATTTTAAGTAGAACTATACCGATTGTTGTTTTCATCGGACCCCTAGGCCTGTGTCCATTGTTAAAGCATTTTATGTCAAAAATGCCAAAGGTTAAAATAATTTACTTATCTTCATATGAATATGTTTCTAGCCGGATATGTAGCAACAAACACATATGTTGGCATATTAGACGTTGTTATACAACGAAAGTCCGTAAAAGTTTCTGAAAGATAAACCAAATCCTCTATTCAGGAAATAATTATAGGCCTATTATTAAAGATTATCCCCGATCATGTCCGGAACATGTCAAACAAAGGCATCAACAAACCAATAATGCACACTTCAGTTAGTCTACACTAAGCAGCAGTCTACGCTAAGCAATTAGGTAGTTTTCCGCAATTGTATACAAACAGCACTCTTTTGGTACCCCCTCCCTCCCTCCCTCCCTCTGAAAGTATACATAAAAAAATGTTGATTTTACAAAACCATTTTCCATTTTGTTTTTGTGAAGTCAACTTAAGCATTGTACTTGGTTACATAGAAATGTATATTGCACTCCCATGATTGCATTATAATTAGTCGTAAATATCTATTATTTAAAATGTAACGAAATGAAGTGTACCAGTTTGTCTTCCCTTTTTCCTCCCCCCGCAGCGTACTGTTCGTACACTTGTAAGTTGATAATTCTGAATGGCTCCTAATTTGTTTAGTTGTATACAAAATGATTTAATTAAAATTTTAATTTTGTAAGAAATATAATAGAATCTGGTTTTGTTTTTATTTTCTTTCTTTTTTTTTTTTTTGTGTATTTAGGAAGTTAAAATCATTTTCTGGTTTTACTAATGTTTACCTTGTCCTGATGCTGTCTCAAGAGCCACTTGATAGTTCCTTTTATTTTTGGCAATCCATGGAAGACAGCATCATGTTTTATTTTTGTTGTTACTTTTCCTGAAATAAATGTTGAATTCTGTTGAATATGAAGAGAACTAATATGATTGTCTAGGTCACACTGTATAATAATATAGTCCTTTCATATTTAAGTTTGTAGTTGATTATCATGTCCAATAATATAAAGTTTGGCTTTTATTCGAAACAGAAGACAAAACTATCCTGTCGATGAATGAATTTCTAGGTGGAGTCTCGCCCCATTACCGTTTATTTATGATTATTACTTAAAATATAGGTCTATAATTGTTTAACATTTATTCATCTGTGCTAGACGTACTTTCCTTCATAACAGAATACATTTACTGACTCATACGATTTCAGATTCTTTAGAACTGGTAGACCTACGTACGGCAACTTACGGTCTGTAGACTGTTTCTGATAATTGTACTCCAATTTATTAGTGGCAGTAGGCCATGTTTTCTGTTGAAGTGGATTATAAGACTAATGATAAATTATTTTAGCATTTTGATCACAGTGGTACCGGCAATGGGGGGGGGGCATGGGGTAAGGGTCACGGTGCATTTCCCTCCACGTTCGAGAATTAAAAAAAAATAATTCGCCGAGGAGAAAAAACAAATCTTATAGAGTTTACAGATTGTGAGACAAAAAAAAAAGGGGGGGGGGTTTCAGGGGTTTCAGGGTGGCCTTTGGTCACGCCCACCCCGGTCTGGTCGGAGATGCCCCCCCTCACCCCGTCTGGCAAATTTTGGCGCCACCATTTTTCATCAGTTTTCTTCAGTCAAGATTAGGTCGCCTACGCCGTTCCGTGTTTGTGGTCGGTTTTGTCAAAGCTAAATATAATTGGTTTGTGTAGAATCATTGCGCAAATGAGGATTCTTGTAATAATGATGTTTGCAATGGAAAAGTTTTTACCTCTTGAATAAACCAAAAGCTCAGTGTTGTTTCGTCACATTTACCAACATTCAAAGCGATTTGACAAAGATTCCACCCGTAGTGTACGTATCAGAAACATACGTAAACAGGCCTTTAAACAAAACAGCCGAATCAAGGAATACTTCAACTGTTGGCACTATAATAAGATACAGTCGAAATTTGGGCACCAGATGCTTAATACAATCAAGCATTAGTAAAGAAAATAAAATAAATGGGCCTAATAAAAAATGAATATCAAATTAATAGAAAGCGTATTGGGATTTTCCAATACAACCCAATAAACCTGAAGCGGATTTTTCCATTGGGGATTTACCACCAATTAAAGTAGGCCTACTACCGTAATCTAATACTGCGTGTGTTTTGTTTACTGGACTGAGCACGAAAATTACAGATCACATTGATCCGAGACATAAGACAACCCCATCAAAGTTTGGTGACGAATCCACAAACATGCAAAAATATGCTTCTTCGTTCCGTCTCGGTTGAAATTATGGAGTGGTTCAGAAGATCTATCAGCGATTAATATTCATGTAACTCGGCAGGTGACCTGGATCCAAAATCCTTCAAACGAGGAGGAGCGGTGTGTGTGTGGGAGGGGGGAGGGGGGTGTGCGGGGAAATAGGAGATTATCAATTAGATTAGTGGGTGGGAAACACTAGTAACATGAGTGGCATAATAAAGGGGCGGCCGAAGGCCATTTGTTCCGGCATTTAGTAACTGTTCTACTATGTTGATTAATTTTAAAAGGCCGCCATTATTGTTGTGTGTATTAGAAATTTAAAATGCAGTGGGTCCCCCCCTGCTTGGTGTAGGCAGTGATCCCACAATTCTATAATAGCCTATGATGTATATGGGAGAATCTCATGGTTTTGTTATTTAGTATAATTGGATCCAAAATGATAATTGATCCCTTTGACACCAATATACTGAAGGGCCAAGGGTTTTACTATTGGGTATCTATAATTTTTGGAGATAAAAAAAAACAAGAAACATTTGAAACATTTCAAGTATCAAGGATTTTTCTAAATGAAAAATTGGTGAAAAAATAATATATAGCCATTTGACACCATAAGGTAGTAAGCTAAGAGATTTTAGTGCCATTATTGTTTGATATCGTGTAGGCCTATTTATTATTTATATTTAGGAGTACCGTGGATTTATCGATATCCAAAATTCTAGTTTTATTTTTGGATACAAAAGATCAAAGCATTCTTACTCTAATGATCAAAATTTTTGAATACAGTGTCGGGAAATGATTTAAGGCTATTCAAAAACCTGGATATCCTAATGAAGAGCATTTGACTCAATGATACGCATATAAATGCACTTATTGCGACACTGCGATACAAAACCGAGGAAGAATAGACGACCCTCTGCAAAACAGGGTGACTAACCTCCACTTGTGTGTGTTCGGTACTAAACTGACCATAATAACCTGGTCGGTTTCCAAGGTCTGTTACCCTGGTCACGTTCAGTCGCGCACGTCACATCCATAGTCATAACACATCATGACGTAACTATCCTGCTAACGAAACCTTCGCGACAGTTTAATTAAATTGCAACTAATTAATTCGTATTATGTTAATTACTGTAGCAGGACCTATACTGATGTTTTATTACTCCGCTCGTTTGTATTACTCTTTGACCTTTTTCGCATAATATCCCATTTTGTTTCAAAATTAATGCAACAGTTTTCCGAAATTGGCAGAGGGGGATCCTATACTTAATCATTATTTAAATCAATAACAATCTAGGAGACTATACCTACTTAGCGGTTCATAATCATGGAGCTATAATAGGTATTTTTTATAGCTTCATAATCATGGTTTAATCATTGATAAAAAGGTCAATCAGTCACAGGAAAACACATAAGCCCTTTTATATACATTTATGCTTATAGCATATCTTTATTATTACAGGTTCGGTCGTAACATAATTAATATTAATGTGCATCAGCATTCGGTTCAGGCCAGTGGCGTTAATGCTCTCGTGTGGCCTATGTGTAGGGCGCCGCCGACAGCCCCTACCCATAGGCCATTTCCGGACATTTATAGTTGGCTAATCATTAATTCTCTTACCTCAGCCCCAACCATGGTGGGGCCGAGGAAATATAGACCTTCCATCTGTGAAAGTCCCCCCCCCCCCAACTATGATGCGGCTCTATTTCAAATTTCTGGATCCGGCCAGCACTGATATTAAATCATTTGCTTTGTTGTTAAAAAACATTTAGACAATGACAAACATGATTTAAAAAAAAAAACAACGAGCATATATAAAATCCCACAATGGAAATGGCGACTGGAAAAGAATCTATGAAAGCCACAAGGCCCCGTCCCCATCGTTACACAACTATTCGGGCTCATTCAACCAGACTCGGGGGTGGGAAACGGAAATTGCGTCTATACAGTAGGACCTACTAATTGGCAGTTTCCACGCATTTCCCCGTAAACAAAATTAAAAATATGCCATGCCAAGGTCCTGATGAACGACATGTGAAACCAAACGAATTGAAGGTTCTTTATACAGTATTGCGTCAGCATGCAGCTTGCGGCTTGCAAAATGTTAGCTGCACATGAGTGTATACAATTTATATTTTTGCATTGTTAGGCCACGGTAAACATTGTTACCAGCATATTATTATATTTTTAGTTCAACCAATGGCCATAGCTTACGAATATAATCATGATTTGATAATCATTCAGTTCTTGGTGCACTTTCAGCTGCGCTCATAAAATACAGTAAGTGGATTCAAAATGCAAAAAAAAATCTTATTCACATGTATTGTCCCATGCTAAATACCCAAAAAAAAAAAAAAAAAAAAAAATCATAAAAATATTTTTTGAAATTAACTTACCCATTTTTAAGTAACATAAAAGTTATCAACTTTAACATAGAAATCAGTGTATTATACATATGTATGTATATATATCTTAAATGTATATAGATATACCTATATATCTTAGCATCTTAGCTTAAAGCTAATTAGGCAATACTAATTCAATATTTGTAGTATGAAGTTAAGATCTGTTTTGTTATGTGTTAAGCCATAAGGTAAACAGACGTACGACAGCTATATTTTGTGATAGGCCCTATTTTCCGATTGAAAATCTATAATAATAAGGACACTGCGGCAGTTAAACAATTCACTGCAATACAATAAAAATAATTCGACCACTAGGCTTTTTATCAATCTTTGTATGGTAACTAACGGGATTAGTGTCCACGCAGATAACGTGTGTTTTGTGAAGTCCTTGAGGTAAATACTGCAGTGAACAGGACAAGGACGAGGGACATCCCCGGTCTGGATTTGGTCATGTAAAGTTCTTTCGTCATTCGACAAGCGTGTTCATGCTTACGGTGTATGTGGTTCACAGTTACACAGCCAATAGCATTACAGCATCACTGACCTCATTTGCATATCAGAGCTCACACCCTCGCATTTAAAACAAACATATGACACTGTGGTCCGGTATTCTCGTCATGAATTGTACGTACACCGTGGAACCAGCAAACAAACTTATATTTATCCAACTATTTATTGAAGGATAAAGCTTTCGGTGGGTACCCTGCGAATTCTGACAGGCCTGCCTTATATTGATCATTAAATTGTGTCGTAAGTCTTACACCGACTGTCAATGCAGTGTATGCCATAGTAGCGTAAGACTGACTACAGAGAGATAGGTAAATCATCAGATAGGTGATTTTCAAACCAAGCACTTCTTGAACAACTCTGAAGATCAGCCAGGCAGGATGAGTACCAATACTGGTCTTAAACTTAGTGACAATGAGGTGGCCCAGACAACCTCAATTCTGGGAGTTATGAAAGAATTTATCGAAGCCGTAAATGATATGGACGAAACTGTTTTGATTCCAAGTCGTTTAAAAGACATGAAAGCGGACGCACCCACGGAATCTGCAATCGTACGATCGTCATCGGCGTCAGTTGACATATCGATGTCGTCTCTGACAGACTTTGAAATTTCGTCAGACGAAGAGTCCGTCTCATCAAGACAGGTTAGTAAAGGACAGAATACTCAAGTTCTACAAAATGTTACCCTTCATTCCTACTATTCTATGTTGAAAGCCGTGAAAACGGAACTCGTTAGAGGCACCGCCGACGACGAGACGAACGGTAACGAAGGCGATGATGCGGCGTATAACCAATGTGCAACTGCCTTTAAGAAACACCTTGCAGGCCTTTACAACACCCTCCAACATATGACGAACTTATCAAAGCAATTGACCAGCCAGTACCAACAAGAATTAGGGGACCATCAACAGTGCATCAAGCCGAAGACATATACTGTTTAATTTAACTAAATCAATAAGTTAAGTTCTACCAATCGCACCTGATTCAAGTATCTAACATTATCCCTGTTTCATCACGATAATTGTTGTCATCTGCCTGAGTACAGGTTGTGGCCTCTGCTTGAAATGCAACTATTGTACTGTACTGAATTCGTACTAAATATGGACCACGGAAATCAAGCAAGTCAACTCTCGTCTGCATTTCGTTCGGACATTTTGTTAATAATATTAAAGATTGAAATTATTCGATAGCTTCATTAACATTATATCTCAACGGCTATTGTCCTGGGGATAAGGAGATTCTTTTTATCACAAAACCATCGATTTAACCTCCATCAATTGTTGAATTGTTGAAAAAAATATTTGTGGTAATTTCACACCACAGTGCTGATATGGCCGTTAATATTGTCGTTGGTTTCTGTTGAAAATTTAAATGTTAATTGTTATCCCATGAATGTATTCTGTACTAAATGTTACTGTACTATAATTATTATAGTTATCACACCTCCTTTGTAGATACAGTACTTGAGTACAGTATACCACCTCGTTAATTATCTACTGTTTAAGTACTGGATGTACGAAGCATGAAAGGTACTCTATTACTGTATTGTACATGGTGTGACGTCATTTGAACTGAGTCAGAGATTGATTATCGTATCGTACGATCTATCCCTGGACGCTTTTCCTATGCTCAGAATTTTTCTTCTGTGTGATACCATAGAGAAAATATATGGTGATACTGGCTTTCCAAGTAAATCAGGGAAATGACAAACAAGAAGCCATGTTCGTATAAACTTATAAATATACATCTGTCGAAGTAAAACGAAATATTTTGTTAAATAATATTATTAATACATGGCCGGTTTTGTCCCTGTATTTACTTTACTTACACAAATACTTTAGGCAATTTTTTAATATTTAATGCTTGAACAAACTGAATCTGGTACAGGTACTAATTTCCTTTTCCTGTTAAAATTGTTTACGTTTATGTGCAATATAAATAAAAACGTGGATTAAAAAAAATGGTCCATTTATGCAAATATTATTATTATTTTTATTATACATTCGTAAAATATTTTGTATATTTAATTTGTATCAGATTCAGATTTCATATGACGGCATGGGATAATAAATAATTAACTTAGTGACCAATTTTGAAGGGTCATACATATTTTGAATGTCTGATAGATTTTTTCAAAATTGGTTAATGACTATAAAAAGTAAGATATTGTTTACATATTAATTAATAAAATTTAATTTAATTCATATCTCCTTTATTGTTATTTTTTCACGTTTCTTGAGGGTCGTACACAATTATCAACATTTTCACACGTGTACAAACAGTACTCTTTATCGTTACCCCCTCCCTCCTTCTGAAAGTGTACAAAAAATTGTTGATCCACTAAATGTACTTGGTTGCTTTAAAAATGAATATTATGTCCATGGTTAAAATTTTACCATTACAGGTATTTGACATATTGCATGTTATTTTGAATCAACATTTTTATGCATATGTAAAAGTGTACAAATGTGTCTACCCCTCCCCTCTAGCGTACTGTTTGTTCAAATATCAATATAGACATGTGGAGAAAGGCATGCACAGATAAACTAATCTATATTAATGTTAATTCACCGTCGTCCTTCAATAACAAGTTAGACCAAACTTGTTGAAACACTGCTTAAAATGATCTACAATAGCTCGGGTTTAATATAGAGTATAGCCTATATTTATTATCAGGTTACACGTACTTGTCATGTTTCAGGTAGTTCGCCTTCCCCACTGCGCTTGACGGTCAAAATATCCGTAAACCTCACCCTGAAGCTGCCCGACTGCCTGCTTGTTTCCCCGGATATTCACCATATTTTGCGTTCAAGCATGAACATCAGTGATCGTACCATACTAAATCTCATCGTTCATTAAATGTAGTCCAAGTTGGGAAATCACCCCATTCTAGGGATCAGCTCAACATTGTTTTTTTTTTTTTGTTCAGGAGTCCAGTATCTCTATAGACGTGTGTGTGTATCTGTCTCTTATACACATCTAGATGTGTATAAGAGACAGAGTTGGACCTTCAAAAAATTAGCTTTTGACAATTCAGAAACAAGCCCATCGTATGATCCTTGCAGTAAGCTATCAAAAAGCGATAAATATCGTGGCACGCTCCTCTACAATTGCTGCGCATGCCTACAACAATTCAACCGTATAATTACTGTACAGTACTCGGTTGTTGTTGCGGCAGGTGTGCAACGCAAACATGTTGACGGCCCGTAAGCCGCATAAACCCCATCCCATTCCCACACTCATCATCATCACCAACACCATTATCGTCATCATCATCCTCTTCGTTTTTAATCCATCATTATCCATCATCATCATCATCATCGTCGCCATCAAGATAAGAAAAGAAAAATCAGTTTCTAATGACTTACAGACGTTTTACTACTACGATGTTTAACATTTTTGCAAACGATAGTTAAAGGTTATATAATTTATTATCACTATAAGGTCCGTACGTTGATTTTGCTAGGAAAATATTGTTATAATTAGAATTTAGCAATTAATAAGCAATTAATTCATTAATAAGTTCATTTTTGACTGCAGTGTAACTTTGCAAATATATTTCGAACTTTTCTGGGGTTTTCAGTTTTTCTAGTTTGCGTATAATTTCCAGTTTGCAGGGTAAAAAAAAAGCAATTTTTTTGTGATTTATGCAAAACAACTTAAGCATGACCATATAATTTAGCTTATTGTGATGGGTCTAAACACGTTACAATTTACATTTGACCTGCAATTTACATTTTTTACCTTTTCAAATGGGAGAAGCAGTCAGGAGAAACAGGCAGGGGCGGATCCAGAGATGTCCAAAATGGGTGGGGGAGTGGAAGAGGGACCGAAAGTGGGGCTGATCGAGATAACAATACCCTAGGGGTATGCCCTTGCGAAATTTCTGTGTTGATACGCCCGAAAATAATATCTGATGCCTTTCGGGCGATCGTTTTTTTTTTTTTTTTCTTGATCGTTTTTTTTTTTTCTTTTTCTTTCTTTATCTTTTTTCCTTTTTTGACTTTCCAAGGGGAGGGGGGTGTGGGGCAGACAGGGACATTGCAATCCCAATCCAATTTTTGTCTTGGAGGAAAAAACCGATTAAATAAAATCATTTACCCCTAAATTGTCATAATAGGGCTTCGCCCCACTGGAACACTTTCGATAGATTTTGAGCTACGCCAGACCATGCCCACTTTTTCTCCCATTGGTGACATAGTTCCCCTCGTCGGGGACCCCCCCCCCCAGTCGGGAAAATCCTGGCGTCAACCCTGAGGAGCAATTTCACTCTAGATAAGAAATTAGACAAATTTTACCCACTTGCAAAAACAACAGAGGGCGCACTATACTATAGTTTGCTGTGTTTAAAAAATTGTAGGGCTACTATCGTTTTGTAAACTCACAAATTGACTTTAAAGTTCACTACCACCAATGTATATGTGTATGTTCGAATAAATATATAGGGGCCTATATAGGGCCTACTTATGTCTAACGGCACAACAAAGCTGTAGGCTTTATTACCAAAATCGGGGAAAACAAAAAATGCTATTTTTTGCGTGTAAATAAATTTCTTCAAATAATTTTCAATTTCACAAACAATTTAGAAAGACAAAAGTAATTAGAAAATTTTCGTAAAACGCATGGAACATGATCAAGAAAAGTCAAAATTGGCAGAAAGGCGGGGTTAAAAAATGATGTGGAGAACTGTCTGCCGCAACAGGTAACTCAGGAATTTAGTTATTTGAAATGGGTAGGCCCTATTTACAAAGCTTAGTATACAGTATCTGGATATTTTGATGTTCACATTAAATTAGACACAGTTCAAAAAAAAAAATTGTCAGTTAAAAACTGTGTGAATTCTCTAAATCAGTGCTTTCAGCAACTTTCCGGATTGATATGCATAGACTTATGATATTAAACACTGATTTTGTTATAACTTGCATTTACCTCAATAGATGTATAGTAATTAAAACAATTAATTAATAGAGACTATTGTCACAGGATTCCGTGTACACAGTACACTTAATTCACCTGAAGATACCGTAAAACCTCGAATAGAAGCCCTGTGCTTTTGCGAACTTTGGGGGGCTTCTTTTCGAGGCTCTTGCAAAGTACTAGAGGGGCTTCTTTTCAAAATTAAGTCTGTAAATTTTGGGGATTAGATCTACTATTTTGCAGCAATGGCCGCTATATCATGTGGAGTGCATTAAATCACCTACACTAGGCCTACTGTGTAAACCAAGCATGTTTAATTTACTTTGTTTCTTTGATGTACAGTGTGTGTGTATTGTAGGACTGGTGGCCTTCTATCTCGAACGAAGCCCATTGCGGCTATCTTCAAAAGAAGCCCATGGATGGGCTGCTTCTTTTCGAGGCTACTTTTGCAAACTAAAGAGGGGCTTTAATTCGAGATGAGCTCCTTCTCGAGATATTAAGTCCATACTGTTTTTTTTTTGTTTTTTTTTTTGTTGTTTTTTTTTGGTTTTTTTTGTTTTCAGTTTTTATAGGCGTGAAAAAAAATGACTGAATTTTAGTTTTTTATTTAGAAGATTGTCGTATTTCTTATTGTGTACTCTATTATTGTTCATTTTCTATTATCTATTATACATGTACGGTATATTATCTATTATACATGTACGGTATATTTGGTATGTTTAAATTTTTAGTTATTTAGATTATAGATGGTTATCTCATTGTTTCACGTTAAAAGTTTATATACGGTACATTCTATTTTTTTAAAAATAGTATAGGCCTACTTTGTTTAAATTAAGTTTTCATAGGCGTGAAAAAACAGATTGAATTTTCAGTTCTCTATATATAAAATTGTCCTATTTATTATTGTGTCACTGCTTATTTTTGTGCAAGATACCGATAAATTAAGGCTACCACTAGAGGACGTTCAATTTTTCAGTTATTTAGATTGTAGAGGATTATTTTATTGTTTTATATTAACGCTTTATGGACTTTGTCATTTTAAAATCACCATTAATTAGCTATCGCGATACAAAATCTGAATCAGATTTCGGCTAAATTAAATGGCAATCGAAGAAAATTCCCGTAAGCTCACAAATCATACCTGTATAATAGGCCTACACTTAGCAAACAATGCCAGACAGTATTTGATGTAAGAAAATTGAAAATTGATGAGCCTTCATATTCTACATATGAAATAGTACAATATAGGCCTTAAGGTGTCATAAAATAATAGACTAGCAAAACGATAATTTACCATACCGTACCAGCACACCGTTAAAACAGCTAATTCTCAGGGTAGCTGATGTTGGAAACTAAACCTTATGTGCTAAAATTATTTTTGGATGAATTGTGATGATCCAGGTACTATTCTAAGGTGTTCAGGACATATCTGTCAATAATGGAAGAGTGTTTTTTGTTTCCCCCCCCCCCACCGCCCCCAGGTTGTGGTGACTTTTTAAAGTACACAATGATAATTATTTTCTGTCCTGGTGACATGAGAAATTTAATGATGATTGTTGCCTGGTCGATAGTCTGCATGTGGCTTTGTAAACATAAACATAACGCCTTAGTAATGTACGTAAACACGCGCGTTTGTGGGACACACCAAACGCGCATATTCCTGGCCCCATGCTCTGGTTGGTCAAAAATGGAAAATGAAGAAACTGTTTGGCGCCCTTTAACCGTTTAGACCAGAGCCATAGATAGAAAGAGTTGCGACATTGAGAATTTAGAAGCCATTTTGTTTCATACGCGATGCGCGTTCTGTGTCTAACATGATGTGCGTTCCTGTGTATAATAT